CTATTATTCTGGAGTTAAAAAAAACTCTCAAGCCAGGAGAAGATATGGAGGAACCCTAAATATCTGTTACTGAGTCATATTAGTCTATTTTCCATTGCTGTAACAAAAATACCTGAGGCTAGATAATATACAAAGGAAAAGAGATTATTTTTTTTTTAAAGAAAGAGAGAGAGAATTGTTCATATTTATTTTTTAGTTCTCGGTGGACACAACATCTTTGTTTGTATGTGGTGCTGAGGATCGAACCCGGGCCGCATGCATGCCAGGCGAGCGCGCTACCGCTTGAGCCACATCCCCAGCCCCGAAAAGAGATTATTTAGTTCACAATTTTGAAGATTTGCTCAGCTATGATGAGGGCCACCTTGGCTCTGTCACAATGATAACATTGTGAAGGGGGTACATATAAGGGGAGGATCACATGGCAAGAAAGGAAGCCAGAGGGTGATCTGGGGTCAGGCTTGCTCTTTTACAACAACTCACTCTTGTGAGAATTAACTCTGTCCTGGAAACCAGCATTATCTCTGGCAAGGGCAGGACCTGCAATGACCACTAGACCCCAACCCTAGACCCCAACCCTCCCACTAGTCCCCAGCCCTAAAGGTCATCACCTCTCAATACTGCCACACTAGGGACCAAGCCCCCAACATGTGAACTTTTGGGGGACAAGCCACATCCAAATCATGACATAAATGAAAGAAACAAATTTGAAAAGGCTCTATGCTGTGTGATTCCAACTATGTGATATTCTGGAAAAGGCAAAACTATGCAGAAAGTAAAAAGATCAGTTGTTGCAAAGGTTGTGGGGGAGGGAAGATAAATACGTGTAACACAGAGGGTTTTTAGTGCCGGGAAATAATTCTAAATGAGGCTGTGATGAAGAATACATGTCATTATGCATTTGTCAAAGCCCATGGGATGTATAATACCAAAAGCGAAGTCTTAATGTAGACTATGGACTTCGGGCAATAACGATGTGTCAATGTATGTTTGACATTTGCAACAAACAGACTCCTCCCATCCCAGAGCTGGAGAGAGGAGGTGGCTGTTCATATGTGGAGGGGTGGGAAGTAGATGAGAAATCCTATTTCGCTCATTTTCATTGTGAACCTAAAACTGTTGCTAAAATTCACTTAAAAAAAAAAAAGGAAAGAAATTGGGCCGGGGTTGTAGCTCAGTGATAGAGTACTCGCCTAGTATGCATAAGGCACTGGGTTTGTTCCTCAGCACCACACAAATATAAAATAAAGATATTGTGTCCACCTAAAATTAAAAAATACTAAAAGGCTCTTGTTCTTATTAAAAAAGAGAGAGAGAGAGAGAGAAAGAAAGAAAAGTACAGAATTATCAAGTAGGGTTAATCCCAGGAATACAGGATGATTAATAATAGAAAAATATGTCAATGTAATTTATCACATTAATACCCCCCCCAAAAAAGGATATGCTATTACCAGATGTAGAAGATATATTTAGTTAAAAAAGCCTTTAGGGAGCTGGGAGCATAGCTCAGCAGCAGTGTACTTGCCTGTCACGTACAAGGCCCTGGGTTCAAATCTTAGCACCATAAACCAAGCAAAACCATCAATTGTAAATTAACAGGATTTTTTTGTAAAAATAAAAGCTTTTTAAAAACTAATACAACAGACACTAGTATGGCAATATGTAAATCAATGGAAGTGTAACTGATGTGATTCTGCAATCTGTATACGGGGTACACTTGAATCAAAGTGTGAAATATGATATATCAAGAACTATGTAATGTTTTGAACAATCAACAATAAAAAAAAATAAAACTAGTAAAAAAAATAAAAACTAATGAATAAAACATTTTAGCTTTTTAAAAGATTCTCTACCAAAAGCTTGAGGATACCTCGTCTTGATGAAGAGATAAAGGCATACCTGTAATCCCAGCTACTTGGGAAGCTGAGACAGGAGGTTGCACGTTCAAGGACAGTCAGGGCAACATCGTGAGACCCTGTCTCAAATAACAAAGCTGGGATGGGGTTGTGGCTCAGTGGTAGAGCACTTACCTGGCATGTATGAGACACGGGATTAGATTCTCAGCACTGCATATAAATAAATAAATAAAGGTCCATCAACAGCTAAAAAAAAATTTTTTTTTAAATAACAAAGGGCTTGGGATATAGCTCAGTGGTAAAGTGCTTATCTAGGTTGTACAAGGCCTTGGATTAAATCCTAGTATTACCAAAAAAGAAAAATAAGAGGTACAAGCACATTCTCTTTAAAATTAGCAACAACATAAAAACAAAGAAGGAAACAAGATTTAATAGGAGGGTTTGAAGGAAGTGATATCTTAAGTGTGCAGCTAATAAGATTATTTACATGTAACATTCAGCAAGGCCAGGAAACAAATTATTAATGCTAATTAGAGAGTGTAGCAAGTTTGCCAGAAATAAGAATAACACACACAGGTCATTAATAGTAGAAGAACTAATGGAAAATTAAATGCCACTTAAATAACAAACTAAAAGTATAAAGTGTCTAGGAATTAATCTAATGAAGAATATACAAACACTTTAAGAAGGAATTTTTAGGGCTGGGATTGTGGCTCAGTGGTAGAGCGCTTGTCTAGCATGCGTGAGGCACTGGGTTCGATCCCGGCACCACATAAGAATAAACAAAGGTGTTATGTCCATCTACAACTAAAAAAAAAAAAATTTAAAAAAGAAGGAATTTTTAAAACTCCATTAAAAGATATCAAAGAAAGGCAGGGTATGGTATCCTGAGCCTAGAGTCCCAGCTACATGGGTGGTAGGGACGAGAGAATCAGGAGTTCAAGGCCACCCTGGGCAACACACGGACAACAGAGTAAGACCATATCTAAATACACACACACACACATACACACACACACACACACAACACACACACACACACATCAGAGGAGATCTGAATAACTTCATCAAAATAGCATATTTATGAATGGGATGATTTAATATTTTAATAGTATCAAGTATCCCTAAGTTAAACTATAACTTAGTGTTTGATAAGTATGGGATGCCAAATGATATTTGGAAAAATTAACTCACTGTGTAGATTAATATTAAAGTAGAGCTGGGCTATAGCTCAATTGTAGAGCACCAATCTAGAATGCACAAGGCCCTGGGTTCAATCCCCAGCACTGCAAAGTAAATAAATATGATAATAATAATAATAATAATAATAATAATAAATATATTCCCTTTAAAAATATAACCCCTTGGCCCAGCAGCTCAGGAGGCTGAGACAGGAGGATTATGAGTTCAAGTCCAGCCTCAGCAACTGCAAGGTACTAAGCAACTCAGTGAGACCCTGTCTCTAAATAAAACACAATCCAGGGGTGGGGATGTGGCTCAGTGGTCAAGTACCCCTGAGTTCAATCCCTGGTACCATAAAATAAATAAATAAATAACCCCTTGGATGGATTTGAACTAAAAGTCTCAATGTAAAAAGATAAAACTAAAAAAAAATATAAATATAAATATAAATAAAAGCCAAGAGGACAAAACATAACTGAGTATATTTATGACTGTAGAGGGGAGGATTTTATAAATAAGACTCAAAATGCCCAAACCATGGATAAATTTACCAACATCAATGTAGCTCTATATGTGGGACAAACACATGATAAAGTTATCAGAAAATTAACAGACTGGAGTAAAAGTGTTGAAAACCGATAAATGAATAATACTTAGAACATAAAAGCTATTTCTGCCAATCAGAGAAAACAGGAAACTCAACAGAAAAAAATGAGTGACATTTATGAATAGGCAGTTAAAGAAGGACAAAGTTGAACAGTGAGTAATTGGTGAAGAAAAGCTCAGCTTCACAAAAAATCAGAAAAATGAAAAGAACACCATCAAGTATTATTTTACACATTTCAAATTGGCAAAAATTAGGAAATCCAAATATCAAGGGTTGATGGAAGAATGAGAACCCTCATGTTAATCTTGTTGGAGCATCAAATGACTATATATATATGTTTGTGGAGCTGGGAGTCAAATCCAGGGCCTTTGTGTATGCGGGGCAAGTGCACTACCACTGAGCTAAATCCCCAACTCAACTGGCTATTTTACAGATTGACCTCAATTCACTTAGTATTAAGTGAAATTGTATGTGAATTAACTCTACAGCTGTGCACAAATATCCAGAAATGCACAGCTGCCCAAGAGGTCATGTAAGAGATCGTTTCCTGCATCCCTGTCTGTACTGGCCAAGAGCAGGAAGGAACCTCCAGTGGTCACTTGGAGACTGGACAAGGAAAGGGTTTAGGCAGCTGTTTGAAGGAAAGAGCTGGATTTCCATATAGCAGCATAATAGATATGTCCGAGAAACATAATAGATATGTCCATAGAGCAGCATAATAGATATGTCCGAGTGAAAACACGTTAGAAAAAGCCTTAGATGAAAGAGCTCTCAATAATCTAATATGTTCATGAAAACACAACACACAAGCACAAATCCACACTAATTTTCAAGGACACATCTAGAATCATATGGTATTACATTCCCTAGAATAGGCACTTGGGGCACACAGGAGTGGAAAGAGGAATGAAGCACAAGGAGGATAATAACTCTACATATAATTCCACGCCATCTTTGCAAGAGCTGGCAGTGCTAATTCTCCACAGTCTGAGAAGTAGAGAGACCCTAAATCTGCGGTGCTGAAGTCCTTAAAGAGAGATTGGGCAGGGCGTGGTGGCCTGTAATGCACATGCCTGTAACCCCAGCAGCTCAGGAGACTGAGGCAGGAGCATCAAGAGTTCAAAGCCAGCAACTTAGCAAGGCCCTAAGCAACTTAGCAAGACTTTGTTCAAAATAAAATATAAAAGGAGCTGGGGATGTGGCTTACTGGTTGAGTGCCCCTGAGTTCAATCCCTGGTACTCCCCCCCAAAAAAAGAGCAAGAGATTGGTTCTTCCTAAAACTTGGCTGGGATGAGCTGTTGTGTTTTTCTACCTTTATCCATTCTGATTTTGTCCTGCTTCTTTTTCCCTTCTAAAGGATTGCTGGCTCCTCACCAGGTCTCTGCATATTCGGAGGATGTGGGTGGCATTGTGGTGACCTGGCAGGCCCCCGAGAAAGCTGCCTCAGCGGTTCAGCAGTACGTGGTGGAATGGAGGGCGCTCCATCTCGTGGGGAGCACACAACCTCCTCCAAGCTGGCTGTGGGTGCCCCCCTACAATATGTCAGCTCTGATTTCAGGTACTGAATCGTTCACTTTCACCTTAGCAAGCTACCAAGTTCACATTTGTTTGGGGAAGCTGCAGACCAGGATCCAGAACCTTGCCTTCAATGACATGATAACCCAAGATGACAATGGATAGTGACAACCTAAGTCCATCAAGAAAGCACTGCAGAATACACCACCAGAATCATAAAAGGTCAATGTGTTGACTAAAAAAACCTGATATTTATGGAAAAATCGTACCCCTAGCACAGTGCCTAAGAAGATGAATGTACTTAAACCCAAAGATCATGCTAAGAGCTAAGCAGACCTGTCAGTGTGATAGGTACTTTTACCTTTGAATTTTTTTTTTGGTAGAAAAAGGAAAAAAGAAGGTTTATTGCTTTGCTAGCAAAGGAGAAACACAGGGACTCCTATCCCAAATGCTGTGATTCTGCCCATCAGCAGGAACCGTGGGTTTTTGAAGAGGTGATTCAAAGACTACACTCCACATGTTCTCTGTTGGAGTTAAAATCCACTTGTTAATTTGGGAGACAGTCATTTCCGAGATCTTCTGGTACTATCCCCAAAATCTGGATTATTTCATTCCTAGGATGGGTGAGTGCTCAAGGACAGATAACTCTGTCTAGGATGGGGAAGAAATTCCTTTGGAAATTTGTTCAACTCAAAACAATCATGCAGATGAACAGTCTTTATTTTGAATCCATCATACAGATGAGAAAGGGGATCTTTCATTTCCTATTCTGCTACTTATCATTGCTGTGATAATAAATCCAGAATTGTCTGTATGATAACGGGTGTCCCTATTCCTCAAGTTCTGAAGGTGTCAGTGGTTAGAATCAAGTGAGAGAAAACATCTGAAAATACATTTACATGTTTGAACAGAACTTGGTTGATTAGTTATTTCAAGTACAGCCTAGTGATTCTAAGTTCTGGGTCTGCAGCTACACTACCTGAGTCTGAATCCTAGCTCATGTCACAAATAGCTATGTGATCTAGGGCAAATTACTTAACTTGTGTGCCTCAGTTTCCTCATCTGAAAAATGAGCACAGTATTACTTCATTGGATTGTTGTGAGAGCTAACTGAATTAACATGGAAAATGTTTTGAATGGGGCCCAACATACATTAAGTACACAATAATTTAGCTATCATAATGTTACTACTAAATGTTCAGACCTAAGAGTTTAATAGGTCTGCAGGCTCTAAATCCCATATTTTCATTGCACCATGACAATCATTACACCTGTCTAGGAGGATGTTGTACACCCTTCTTAAGGACCCAAGATTTGTATGATAAAATAAACAGGGCACAGAGTATAATGATACATGAGCTGGTCCTTAACTGTGTGCCCCTTTTATAGTCTGGCTGCCTAAACTTCTAGTAGGTTAAGTTTTAATCATCACCCTTAAAGAGAACACTGCATATATAATCCAGCAAACTTCCAAAGAAAGGTGAGCAAGTCATTGGGAGACTAAAACTTCAAATCCATTTAGCCTATAGAAGAGAATTCTAGGTATGTGGGTGGGTGGGGGGAAGGGGCTGGTTGATGGTATGGCTGTTGCTTCTTTTAAACAAGTATGGGCATAAAATTGTCTCAGTTAATCAGGTGGCTAAGCAAGGAGGACCACTTGAGCCCAGGAATTGGAGGCTAAACTAGACACCATGGTGAGGCCCTGTCTCAAAACAACAAAACAAAAAGTGTGTTTCTTTTGCTGTCCCTGGAGAACAAGCCTAAATCCCAAATGGAAATTAAAAGAAGACAGGTATCAATTTTGAGAAGCAACTTTGATGGTCTCTAATAGGACAATCAATTACCTCTCAAGGCATCATCCCAAGTTTTTGCAGTAGAACCAATTCTCTTTCAGGACTGTTCTGCCTATCAAATCAGACAGAACCGTGGATAGAAAAAGCATTCACTGAACTGTGAAATTGTAAGCTGTTATTACAAACTATATCAGGACTCATCATGGTGGACAGTTTGAACTATTTGCCCCATAGTTCCTTCTTTGGAAATCCTCTGATTCTTTACAAACACCATGAAATAGATGACAATACAGAATGTTTTATGCACTTAGTAAGATAAGTGTTGTTAAGCTCTTTAGAATCATGCACTTGAACAAAATCAACATACTAATGAGTAAAACGACTTTATTAAAATAGTTTTGCTGCTTGGAAGCACTTGTTTAGCTATCAGTGTATGTCGATGTTAGATTCTAGAAATATACACTTGAAATATTAAGTAATTTATACTTGCCATGAATTTTAACGGGCCTTCTCCAGTCGGTAAGATCCCCCATTGCCAGTGGTCGCACACCAAAACCTGTTCCCAGTTTCAGACTGGGGCCAGAGTTGAGTGTTCAGAATACGACCTGATGCCTAGATTGTAGGTTGGTGGGGCCAAAGCTGGGTGAAAATGCTTCTGACCATGTGAACATTCCTTTTACAAATATACAGTACAGTGCCTGGAAATGGGGGCCGGGCTGGTCTAACATCTAGATGAATTGGTTCCCTCTTCTGCCTGCTCCCATCTCACTTCCTTCTCTCTCACACTTGAGAGGTGAAATTAGCTTTCTGCAGAAAAACCACTTAAGAGATGGCTTTTAAACATGGACTGGGGCCTTGGCTCAAGGGTACCAGGTGTGTATGTATGTGTGGAAGTGGTGGGGCCACACTGTAGCAAGGAAATTAAAAGAAGATGGGCGGGGGGACTAAATGAAGGTCTTAGGAGTAGGGACTTTTTCCATTGAAGGTTCTTAAAATGTGAGGCAGATGTGATTAGGGAACGTTCAGACAGAATCAGTCAGAAAAATTGAACAGAACCAGGGAACAAGCCTTGCTGGAGTTCTACTGTCTTTGGAAAGGGTAACACAGCTGAGTTATGAAGCCCCATGTTTTCCCTCCTCCACTAAGGGTGGCCCATTCACAGGAAGAAACCCACAACATCTGATGTGGCAGTTCCCAAGGCTGCTGCCCTGACTCAGCATGGAACCTAGAACCTAGTGAGCTCTTCTGGAATTACCAGATCTCCATCTGGCATACTCGCTGGCACCTTCCATGACTAAAGGTAGAACAGCCAGGTACTGGGAGCAGAAAGCCACACCAGAACCTTCCCAGATGAAATATGATTCCATATCCTCTGTGGCCCTTTGAACTTCTTAGTCTGGATGCCACCCACAGATAATCTTTGGATTATGGGACTAGGGCTGTCAAAGGTTCTTTTCTCCATTTCCTTTGGTTCACAAATTGGAATTGGAAATTGCCCATGGCCTGCTTTGCAATTTGGGATCTCTTCTGACAGGACTGGTTGCTTTGTGTGCTGCCTACTTACTGGAACATTTAGGGACAATGGATTTTTATAAAAACACATCCAATTTAGTAAATTATTCTATCATGTAGAATTCCTCTGCTCCCCCAAAGAAGACCTTGAACTTCAATCAATTGTCAGTGTAAGGAACTCTAGCAATCTATCAGCAGAGCATTAAGCAATATTGGAGAGTTCTTACTTTGACCTCCTGCTACTATAGTTACCTAGCAGGGATTATCTCTCTTTTTTCTTTCAAATTTCATTTGGAATTTGAAGATATATCATGGGCAGAATATATGGGGGCAAGGGTTTTTTTGTTTGTTTCTTGTTTGTTTGTTTGTTTACAGGCAGCAGAACTCTTGAGATTAGTGGAAATAGGAGTTTGGGGAAGGAAGAGGAACTTGCCAATAAGCTTCATGACTGACAGTAAAGGGCAGTGTGGCTCTTTAAAAGCTGGGAAGGAGCATTAGCATTCCTGGGACTCATCCAAATCTCCAGGCTGTGAAGCAACTTGGAGACCTAAGTGGAACAAGGGAGGGGAGGCCAGGCAGGAGCAAGGGGTCGGGTTGCACTGAGAGTGCCCTGGTTAGTCATCCCCACTGTGCCATCTGGAGCCACCCTCTCAGATCCTGATAAGCATCGTGGAATTAGAAAAGCTACTCAGGTGCTGTGCCTGCAAAATGCCAGCCTCACTTTCTTGTAAACAACAAATGATTTCTTTGTAGAAGTCAGAGGTTTTTTCCTTCAAGGTGAGTTGTTAGTTTGTTTTGCCCCTGACATGTACACCCTCCCCAAGTCAGTCTGCATGTGTTTGTATTCCTTGTTGGAACCTGATTGGATTTGTCTCTTTAGTCATGACAATCTTGTTTGTATGAAGAGACAGGTTGATTGGTTGATTTGTTTCATTCTTGGAAGTTGGGAGCATTGATTTCTAAAAGCGGGCATCATGGCAAATAGGATGCTGAGAATTTGTAACTCAGGTCATCCCTTTATTCTCAGTCCAGACTGTCCTTGAACCATCTTCAAACTAAGGCAAGAAATGCCCTGGATGAAGATATTAAAATGGCTCCCCGAGTGACCCACCAGGCAATAGCACACCTATTCTAAGAACTCTCTTTTCCTTGCAGAGAATATAAAGCCCTACGTCTGTTATGAGATCCGAGTACATGCCCTGTCCAGGGATCAAGGAGGATGCAGCTCCATCTGGGGTAGCTCCAAGTACAAAGGTGAACCTTGGGACCTTTTGCCAAATTTCACTTCACTTTTAGATTTGGAGGGTGACAGAAGTCTCCTATGTCCTTCTTTCCAGCACCACTGAAAGGCCCCCACATCAATGCCATCGTGGAGGAAAAGGGAAGCATCTTAATTTCATGGAACCATATTCCAGTCCAGGAGCAAATGGGCTGCATCCTCCACTACAGGATATACTGGAAGGAGAGGGACTCAAGCTCCCAGCCAGGGCTCTGTGGTAAGTGTGAGGACCATGTGCTGTGGGGTCTCCTGTTTGGATATGGGGAAAACACAAGTTTGGGCATGTGTGTGTCCACACACAGTGCTGGCACCATGCCTGGTGCCTGGTAAGGACTCCATAAGTATTTGTGCAATGAATTCAATTAAGACAAAAGTCATCCTGTGCCAAGCAAATTGTAAGACTACAGAAATGAAGTAAACTAGGTTCTCAAGGTGCCTGTTCATAGGCAGGGAGAGCATTTCAAAAAGCAATCTAGGCCTTTTAATACTAACTCTGTAGGCCCTTGAGGTTTGTGAACAACACATTTGGAGAACTTTTTTTTTTTTTTTTTTGTAACAGGGATTGCACCCAAGGGTGTTTAACCACTGAGCCATATCCCCAACATTAATTTTTAATTTTTTACTTTAAGAGAGGGTCTTGCTAATTTGCTTAGAGCTTCACTAAGTTGCTGAGGCTGGCTTTGATCTCACGATTCTCCTGCCTCAATCTCCCAAGTGGCTGGGATTACAGGTGTGCACCACTGCACCTGGCAACATTTGGAGAATTTATAAATCCTCACATTTGCAATTGCCACCATAGCACATTACTTTCTCCTTAAAATGAATAAATTACAATACTGTAAGCCTTTATGACCCATAATCATTCTATAACTATAAAGCCAAAGCAATTAAAATAAATTCTGGCTGCAGCATTATCTCAAATGATTTCATGAAACACTACTCATTCATGTAACTGCTTTAACTCACTTCCAAGATTTGATGTTCCAATCTTTGATTTAATCAGAGCTCCTTTTTTTCCCCTTGGCTTCTTCATTTCATAAACAATTGGCTTTCTTTCAGGAGCATTTATCATAAAGAAAGAACATTTTTATTCATTCATGAGCATTATTAGGTCCAAGAAAAATGTAATAAAGCTATCCTGAGAGGTAGATGACAGAAGCCCACCAACAGGAGTGACTTTTTCCTAAGGGATTGTCTTATCTCTTGATCTTAGAAGATCTGCAGTATTGCTTCTCCAAAAGTGCGACTTCCAAAGCTAGTTAATTTTTATTATATAAATATATGTGCACATGTTAAAAAGTTCAAGTAGTTCAGAAAGATATAAAATGAAAATTCTCTCTTTCTTTGCATTTGAATTGTTAGCAGTTCTTTGTTCTTAAAAAACAAAAGTAATGCAAATACAAGAATATATTTAGAATCTGTTCTATATTTTGATCTACACTTTGTTTTACCATTCAATACAGACCTTTTGCTCCATGAATTTTGCCTCATTTATTTTTTAACAGCACCATAATATTCCATTATAAAATCTTACAGTCATTTGTTTATCTAATCCACCATTGATAAACAGAATATATCACCAAACAGAACTGCTTCCCACTGACCCCTCGGGGTGTCAGTTCTGAAACACATCCCAAGAGGTGACCCCAAGAGGTCAATTGACTTCTTCATGGGCCATTTGGAATTCTTCATGTGAAATTTGACCCCAAAAGTGATTTTCATTTTGACAGAGTTTAAACTGAGATGCCTGTTTACAACCATGGTCAGTTGGCTCTTGAAGCCATTCTTATAGATATCAAAGGAAATATCTATCTTATTTTGCTGCAAATTGGATGAACCTAAAGTCTATGTAAGATTATTTTAAAAGGGAAGAGAGCAAATTCAATTCATTGTTCCATTTCATACCATTTTAGGTTATACTTTCACTTAATTTACTAAACACTTATTGATGATGTTCCCTTCAGAGATGTCAGTGGGGAGAGAGAGGGAAAAAGATATGTAATATAACTGCTATGATTGAGAACTGACAACAGCTTATTGCATTTGGCAAACAGAAATCATTTGTGAATTCATGAGAGTAGTTTCTGGACGGCAGTAGTAGGTAGAGGAGACAGGAGGAAAACACCAGCAAAGAGGAGCATCACAATAGAAAGCAAGGGTGGTGCTCTGAGAAGCAAGAGGCTCCATCTCCCTTATCTTGGCACCATTAACCAGGCTGCAGTCCTAAGGCACATGTAAGTGTTAGGAGCCCAAAGCAAAGGATGCTTAGTCCTCCTGGACAGGAAAGGGGAGAGAGAACTGGGCCTAAGCCGTCTGCATGTTATTAATCCCATAGAAGATTCTAGTACACAGCCTCTCCCACTTAGGATCCATTACACGTCACTACCACTGAATGGTCCCTGCTAATAGACTCCAAGAGTTCAAGGGCAGAAGTCATGGCAATTTTCTCACCACTGTCATCTCTACCTAGAATATACCCAGATACACAGTAGGTGCTTAATCAAAATGGTATTTCTTGGATAACAAATGGGTGAACACTTCCCTATCCTCTATTACACCCAGTGAGGATTCTTAGGTAAAAACTTATTTTTAATAAGTTAATACAGCTATTTTACCTGGTCCACTTGACTCTCCTACCCACTGCCTTTCTGTTGATTGACAACAATCACATCTTTGCTAAACTGTTGCCTTTATTATTGATCAATCTGAGTTTAAGGTTTCGCATGGCTGAAGCTTTACTGGCCCACTTTATCCCTGCCAGGGATCACAGCCCAGAGGCAGCAGAACCAGTCTTTCCTGCTTGACTCCTGTCTCCCATTACACAACTCAGCCTATTCTGCCAACCAAACTGCTGACTCCACCACCCTCTTCTCTGTTCCCCCATAGAGTTGCTATTTTTGTTCTTCAAATATACATGTGTGAATAAACTTTATAAGCCATGCAAACCATACAGATCCCATCCCTTCTGTTCCAACATCTCATTTCACTCCTAGAGCTCAGGGTACCCTCACACAGTTGGATGGTTGTCTCCCCAATGCCTGCTGATGTTTTGGTGCAGAAAGATGAGCGGAAGCTCTTTCTAAAATTAATCTTTTAATCTTCTGATTTAGGAATAGAGAAAGGGTGTGTGTGTGTGTGTATGTGTGTGTGTGTGTGTGTGTGTGTGTGTGTGTG